TTCAACCTGATTGGCTAGAAATGGTCAGACAGACTACAGTCACTAGGATATGAGTTTCCCAACGTTTTTCGAATTCAGTAGAAACAAGCAAGTGATTTTTGATAACAGTAGACTATCAATACCGCCATGGCTTAACTTGAATAACCCGGGTTGACAAAAAATGGTAGTATTACGGTTTGAGGTAAGGTTAAAATTATAAATTATATGATGCAGTTCCCTGCAATTCCAAACAACAAAAAAATACAAAAACCAGATCACATCTATTTTTACATTAATGGAATTCCATGGCAGGCATTAACAAAAAACAACGCATAAAAAAGTTCTCAAGTGGCATTTTTATTTCAGATTATATATCTGCATATATCAACATCTGCTACCTTGCTCGCTTTAATTGAATTGTGCACAGTGATTCAACAAGAAAAAGTTAATAGATAAAGCATCTTGTTCGAAAAATTTCAAGTCTGAAAGTTGTGGCCTGTTATTTGAACCGATAGAAGTTTCTGTTATCATATGGTTTCCGTAGGCTTTTCGTTTATTTTGAGCAAAAGGACTGTGTCTGAATGTAAAAGTATGGAAATTGTTTTTTAAGTGATTAAGTAAAATGAGGACTAAGAAATTTTCCTAGTGATTAAAATGAGAAGAAACTTATTTTTTTCAATTTCACAATTTTTCCATCCAAAAATTGTTAATCATAGAGTTTCTAAAAAAAAATTGTGTGACAATTGTTTTTTAATCCAAGCCAGGCAAAATCAAACTTTTGACATGTTAAGAGCTCTCATTCAGCGATAAACCGATTCAAAATAAAGCAAAAAAAAATGTTAAAGAACTGAACTGTTAGTGAAAAAATGCTTATCGTTCAGTTCTCTTAGATAGACCTGGTATGGAGACAACTCGACTTATAAGACAAATTCTATCAAAAACAACTTTCAAATTTTAAGGCAAAGGAAAATTCACCAAGGAAAAAGTTTGATAGTTCCGACTTTCGTAACGAAAGTAACGGAAAATTTGTGCTCGTGGTGGAATTTTTTTAATATCATTCGAACACTATTGTTGTCCTGAGCTTAAACTTGAAAATTTATTTCACCTGTGATCATTTTTCGGAATGTTATGGGGGTTTAAAGGTTGCCATTTTGGCCAATTTGGGGCAATTAACGCGCGATATATATTTCGCACTATAAACGCGTAAGCGAGATTTAATCCGTCTTATAAGTCGTTCCAAATTGGTTCAAGGAAGCTTATATGCCATAATTGTTTTTTTAATAGGGGCAAAATTTTCTTACTTAATATGACGTGTGGGGTGATGTTTTTACAAAAAATTTTAATTTTTTTTTAAAAGTTCAATTTTATTTTAATACATATGAATTTTTCATGTTATTTCTGCTCCATAGACCTTAACAAGCAGTCAGAACATTCAGGGCTTCGCCCTGATACGAGCAGTCTTGTTAGAGTTCAAAATGAAAAATTTCTGTTCAAATTTGCAAGTGGGCGAGGAAGCGGGCCACACTGGCTTTAAATTTGTATCATATCCTACCCTCTGTTGGCAAGCTTGCAACTCATTGATGCAAATGCGGTGGTGAGTATGTCCCGAGGTGTCTTTTTTGGGATCTGCTTTTCATTGCGGGTCCTCTTTTGTTGCGTGTTGTTGTATTAAGATTATTGTGTATGATAAAAAAATTTTTTTGAAAGTCAGCCATGAAGTTGACGAAATTCATGATACATCAAAACAACAATACTAAATCGGTCGAATCAAATTAAATGATTGATAAAAGGTGAAAAAACCTATAAGAGAAAATAATTTGTCTTCTACTTCCAGACCTTTCGTAGAATGTAATAATCACTTCGGAGAATTTTTTCAACAGCAGTGCAAAATTTTGACGAATTTTCTTATACCAAGTTTTATTTTTTTTATATTTTGAAATCCAACTGAAAAATTAGTTTTTCCGATTTACGAGCAAATCGGTCTAAACTTTTTATCAAATTTAAGTATTATATTGACTGGTGTAAATTAACTACTAAGAGCAATCAAGTTAGAGAGAGACATCACTCGGAAGCCTGACAAACTTACTTGATGATCTCCAAATTCAGTGCTACCTTTCGTGAAAAATCGTCGAGGTTTATCAGGAAAAGCTTAAGTATCAATAGCACTAAACTTTTAGTTGAAAATGTGCATTATTAAACCAATCTCGAGGGGGAAAATGAATTCTCCAGCTATTTCTAACAGGCGCATGCATAGATGATTCAGCTTTTGTAAATGACTATTTTAAAGTAATCCTCTTAAGATTTACAACTTTCCTCTCTCTTCAAAATAATAAATTCAACCAAAACAAAACATGACAAATTGACAATATTTTTGTATTTATCCGTCATTCAAACCAATAAAATAGCCGATTAGCAGCATATCTACTCCGGATTCGATCTAGTGTTTTCTCGAAGGAGGGTTTCATAAAACCTTCAAAAATATTTGTCGATATTTTCATTTGTTTTTAGGTAGAATGCAAATTGAATTTTTGAGCAGAAAAAAAACGCTCTAAAGACTTTATTTTGACCAATTTTTTGTGCCGCATGCAAGTTTTTGAAAAAAAAAACAGGCTAAAAAAGCTTTTGGACCCTTTTTTATGGTTTTGATTTTTTCGGCACACAAGCTGCTTTTATGCAATGCAATTGTCTAAGTCCTAATGGAAAATGAGCGTTGTTAAATATTAGAACTCCAACCCATTTGTAACAAATTTGCGATTCAACACCCAGAATAAAGGTTTTTGAGCATAATGGTTTTTACAGGCTTCTCGCACTAGAAAATCATGGGAAAAAAATTATTTTTATGACTCATTATAATTGATTTTCTTGGCACCTTTGAACAAGAAAATTGCTTTTTTAGGAGATTTAAATTGATTATTTTCAATGTTAAGAATCCCAGTATAGTTCTTCAAAAAATTGACTATGAGGCATTTTTGGTTTCAATATAATCGAAGTTTTTCTGATGAAATCCATGAAAAATTTAATCTTTTATTTTCTAATGTGAAATGTTTACTCTGTTTTGCAGCTTTCAACAAAACTAGAAACCGAGCGAAATGTTCTTACCCTTGTACAAACAACCCCCCCCCCCCAACGCTCGAAATAGTTCCCTACATCCACACCTCCTTCTTCGGCCCCCACACCATCCAACCCGCCCATAAACACTATTCAACTTCCCTGCACACCACCTTCCTCAAACCCCCTTCCTCGCACTCTTATAAGATAGTGACTTCTATTACAAGAAAAATGAAGGATAGGAACTTTTTCTACCAAATTTTTTCATAAATTTCTTCAAACACTTTTACCGAAAATTTTCAAATAACTTGATAAAAAAGTTTCCGCTGTTGCAGAGTACAATAATGAATACTCATAGACCAAATTTGACAAATCGCCGCATGAGTTTACTGAAAATACCTCGAAATTGGTAATGTTAGTGTTGTTGATTTCTATTATTTTTGTCAATATTTAACAGAATCCCACATTTAACTGGTTTAAACTTGTATAACATGATTTGTCAAGGTTGATTCTTTTGTCTCCAAATTGATTTTGAAATCAATTTACTCATTACGTATAGCTATGAGGTTTATTTTAGAAAAAATCTAATTTTTAATTTCAGATTTTTTGTCCGAAAAACATATATGTATATTATAACAAATATCTGAAAATTTTTCATGCATATATTTGAAGAAAAAAATGAAAAAGCAACGCATTCAAAAATTTTGTGTTGACTTTTTTAAATATTTGTGTTGTTTTTTGGGAAAAAGTTGCAATCTCAGAATTCTTCTTATAAAAAAATTGTAAGATAGCGGTAATTCCAGACAAATTTTGTTAGAAGTTCTAAGACATGGGAAATTTTTGAAGGGTGGTTTTTGGCTAAATGCAGCTGTCTTTACAGGCTTGCCTGTCAGAATCAAACACTAAGATAAATTTGGCCAAAAAATTCTGAAAAAAGTAGGTAATGTTATTCACCTCAATCTAAAAACATGCATTTCAATCTGTATGAAAACGTTTGCAGATTTGTCTCAATTGAAGTTCTCACTCACAATCTATTTTTTTCTAATTTGGTTATCTTGCATGAAAAAAATTTAGTTACAGTGCAGCAAAGGTCACAATTTAAATACTAAAAATTTTGACTGGTTATCAGAACCTTTCTTTTAATTACATCTTTTGTACACAGTATACTAAAATTAAATACATTGGGTTGATAATATATAGTAAAATGCATGCTTGATTAGGTAAAAAAAGTCACTTTACACAATTTTCGAATCTACTTAACAACCTTCACCCCTTTCAAGAACTTTTGTTTTGTTCTGAAATTTTGTCAGAGAAGGAGGTCAGGTTTTAAAAAATTTTGTCGTCGATTTTTTTTCTATGGGTAATAAGATTGATATTCCGACATACAAAGTCTTTTGCACGCAAGAGTTATCTGCATCGCTTCAAATTTATTTCATACTGATGCCACACGAGCGCGTAGAAAAGGATTAGTATTAGTCGGCTGAAAACGCAAAATAGCAAAATATTACCAAAGTGGGGAGCCATTAAGTGGTCCAGTGGGTCACACTCCTGTGGGAAGAGGGTGTCCGCATATCCCCATCCCCTTTAAACCCGCAACTGAAGAGCCATTTTATATTCTGTGAGAATTTTTTTTTCTTACGGTATCCCCGTTATTGCTATTTCACGAGAACAATTTTCTGATAGACAAAGGTGACCGGCGTCTGTTTTGACCACGAAACATGATGAGCTCAAAAAATCCAACAAGCTCACATAAAACGGCAATTTATTCTTTTTAAGCGTATCTTGCAAACTTTTCCACATTTTACAATTTATTCTGAATTAAATGTGACATTGTTTGTGTGCTGCCTAATTTTAGTTGGCTCTGATGGAAAATCTGAGGCAGCTGGCAAGGATAATCTAAGATTATCAAACAATTTATCATAAAAAACTTCCGAGGAAAAAGAGTTTTATAATAAACGACTGTCAAATCTGAATGTGAAATCAAATCTCTACTAACCACTCCAAATTGAAAAATTATTAGATTTTGGAAGCTACACTGCATTATTTTTGTCGGTACCAAATCTTTCTATTGTTTCTCGCAACGTTACTAAAACAGAAAAGAAAACAGTTTTCGGATTAATAGCCGGCTGTTTTTTTCATAAAATAATTTTTCAAAAATTTTATTTCATCTCAACCATTTGGAGCTTCTTGCCAATTCGACTCCTAAGATGTCAATTCTGGGTCTGGAAAACTGGCTTTTCTACTCTGTGGCCTCTGTCGCTCTCGTGCTGTTTCTAATATTTTTAACTCTCTTCATATTTGTTATAATGTGGAAGAGGCCAAAAAAGCAGAAAGAGTAAGTTCGGGTTTTTGAAAACTGATTTAAACATACACAAGACTGCTTGTATGACCTGAAAGTTCCGACTATGCTCTATAACTGGTCTCGAATAGTTTCTGGTATATGAACTTTTGACAAATTATGAATTTAAGGCCGATGAAATCAAATTTCAAGTTATAAAGTCTAAGTCGTAGTTAATCAGCTGTATATGGAACCAAGGCAAGCTATTGAAAACATGGAATACTGCGGTGGAAAAACCCGTTTGTGAGCAAATTAAGTTTTCAATTACACCAAATTTTGCTCTCTGAACGAACTCGTCATAAAATAATCATGAACTTTCAAACAATCATTTCGGTGACAGGCCTGATCTCGACTGTGAAATTAATGACGAAAAAACAATTAAAAATTGAAGGTTTTTTGGGTAAGTGAACTCAAAATATACGAAAAGAGACTAACTGCTTTTCGAGATTCGGCCAGTAATTTTCTTGTATATGAGTGCTTTGCCTCTGCTCTGCTTGCTTTACTGTCTCTCATAATTGCATGCTAATTTCACTGTCTAGATCGTCTCCTTGACAATCACCTTCATTTGATAGTTATAACCAATTAGGAAAAAAATATTTGACATAAACAACCAATGTTTTACTTTAATCAAAAGTTGCTGGGCCAAAAATTTCATTAAAACCAACTTTTTGAAAAAAACTTAAGTCAAAGCAATCGAATACGAACTACAAGCCCTCGTGGTGTAACAATGGATCCAAATTTCGAGAACAACTCGGTAGTAATAATTTTGGTCATAAAGCAAACTGATTACAATTAAAGTTGATTTGATATAATTTTCTTTTTTTCCAGTTTTTTTTTCCACATTGTTTTCTTTTTTGTTTATGTTGTCCAAATAATGAACCGCCGATAAATTGCAATCTTTGAAGACGAGTTCGAAAAAAAAACAAGAAACCAAAAAAGATCATCAATACTAAAACACCAATTCTTGTATATGCCTTATCATGCAAGATAGCCAGTCACATAAAACTAACTGGTATACCCAAAACATCTATTGGTATACAATACCGACATCATTTTTTTCGACTTCACCAGGATTTTTTTCATAAAACGTAAATTAGGAGAAGTTATCATGGTAACGAGATTTTTATCCGCTTTTGTTTGGCAGGTTTTTTTATCAAAGTTTTGCAGTTTTTGCCTTTTTAGCGCCAACTTTACTTTAACAATGCAAATCGCGTCGAGCTTATAAATAAACTGAGGGGTTGTTCTTTTAGAACAAGAGTATCGTAATTTAGTATCAAATTCTGCTTTTGTGGCGGTGAGGTATAGATCTGCTGGGTCAAATAATTTGTCACTTTTGTAAAAGCTGATCTTTTTATTGCTATACTTACAGAATCTTGTTAAAAACATCCACCCTTGAGTCTTAAGTTTTTCATTTTACTGCCAGTTACGGATCTTGTTAACTATTCCCCCCCCCCCCTCCCCCCTGTTTCGATTTTCAGAAACTCGACTTTGGCGGCCACATTTTCAATAGCTTAAAACAATTTTCAGAAAATATATATAATTAAAATTTCTTACGTTAGGTATTATATAAATAGTGAGTAATTAAAATACGAACGCGCGAAAATGAAAACCCAATTAATTGAGATTTTTGAAATGCATATTTTATACAGAAATGGTTGTCAAAATACTACATGCATGGGGGGGGGATAGTTAACAAGGTCCAAAAGGGGGGGGGGGGGGAGTTGACAAGATCCCCAGTTACTACCAGAAAATGTTACCCCTTAGGGAAATCTCGCAAAAAGTTTCCTTTCTATTGCATAGATGTTAACACCAAATGGGCTGATCTAATTTAAAATACTAATGCCTTTTTCGTCTTGGACTTAACCATATCTAACAGGCAACCGTCTATTTTTAGTGAAAACTCATTATAATTTTGTGAAACAAAGCGAGACTTTTCACGACTAAGTAGAAGCTGCAGGAAATAGACTTTTCCTTCACTTGACGTGAACAACCTTCGTTTTCAGATTTTTGTCCTTGGAAGTGAAAACTTGTTTTCATGCAAAGCAGGGACTAATTTGGGTTTAATCAAACAACAGTTCGACCGCTGTTTCAATTAATGAATGTCGTGATATTAAGTTTTTGATAGACTTTATCGTAATACAAAGTGAACCTTCAAATTCTCCCCACATGGAAATGTTTCGTTTTCCCTGTTCATGTTGCGTAGCATCAAGTATCGACTGAAAAACAGATCAATTCAAAACAGTTGTTTTGTCCTAACAGTTTGAAGCGTTAAAATAGTTTTTCAAAATTGAAATTCTATTTCGGGAGTAGGGAAAAGGAATGGGAAGTTGATTAAGAGCCGAGAAATTAATAACTACATCAAAAACCAGTTTTTATTACCAAAAGCATCGTTTTCTTTTTGTTTGAGGGCACTTTTGTCCACATCTGATTAGAAAAACAATGGAACTAAAGAAATCGATAATGATATATTATAATTGATCTAAATTAAATAAAAATTCTCAACAAAAAATATAAAAAACTACTATGATAATGGTTTATATTATATTCAAAGTGACTTTTTTGCCTAAAAGCTCTTACAGTTATAAATTAATTTTAAACTGATTATAAGTAATTATTTTAAAGTTTTACTGAGGCAATCAAAAAAAAAATCCATTTTTTTATACATCAATATCAAAATCCTTAGGCGCCCGATGCGAAGCCTTAACTGCTTCACAGACGTTAAAGAGCAGTCCAATACTTCGATGTTTTCAGCGAACCTTCAATTGAATATTTTCACTCGCATTTAGGTACCACTGGTTTGGTACCAAACCAAGTCATACATACAATCATTTTTTTCTCGACATTTTCTTAGCCATCAAAATGCTATTTTTCTTCCGAGATCTTTTTGAGCAGTCAAAAGCCCTATAAACAATAAGTTCTTGGACTTTCTTGGACTTTTGATCTCAAAAATCTATGTTTTAGCGCCAGTGGTCACTCCTAATGTATGTTTTAGAATCAGTGAGTTAAGAAAAATTTAGGAAGCGACAGCCCAAAAAATTTATTGAAAAAATTGGAACGGAAAAACAGTTGCTTTTTTATCTCGTTGTTCAAAAATTGTTCGAAAACGACAGAAAATAGAATCTAATTTGCGCTCAGGATCTTGTTCTTGTAAATCATCTTTTCAAAACTATTAAGTCAATTACAAACTTAATATGGCTATAACTTTTTCGAGATCAAAACCAAGAAGTACCAAGAGTACTCGCATCCGGGCAGTGTAATAAGGATTTGTTTGCTTTTTAACGTCAATGAAGTAATTTCAGCCTGAAAATCTTCGCCAACTTTTCAAACAAAAAATTATTTTCAGGTATTTTCCCCAATTAGGCTATATATAAAATACAGTTATATAATTTGTATCTACAAATGTAAAAACTAGACCAAATAGCCTAGTGTCATTTAAGATTATTTATGAGCAGAAAAACCAGTAGCGGATTTAGATTCGACACCCTCACTATCCAAAGGGTCTTCCTTTGCTACTATTTTAAGACCTCCATTTTTTGGCAGGATGACCTTAAATATTTTTCTAAAGGCGCCTTTGGCGCCAATATTTACTATTTTGAGGGAAAAGCGCGCGCCGAAAAATACGATTTCCCGTTCAAAATTGTTCAAAAAATGCATAAAAACTCTTGTTTGGCCGGTTTTTTCAATAGTTTGGTTTCAGTGCAAAAATAGCCAAATCATACCCCCTCCCGAGAAAATCCTAGATCCACCCCTGTGAAAAACTGTTTTAAATTTGAGCTCACGACAGCAATTTTGTCACTTGGTAACAATGAAATTCCGTCCGAACTGCATTTAATAATAAAGTCAATATTTGCCTGAAGAAAATTACAACGAGTACAAAAATTCAATCACTTTATTGAAAAACTAGCAAAAGGAGCAACAGAATTCACAAAAATTTTTTAAAAATCACTAAAACTAAAATTTTATTCACGATATCAAAAAAAAATAGAAACCGAAAAAATTCTACTATAGAAAAAGCAACAAGTTAGGTCAGTTTGCAAATTTTGCACAGTAATAGTCAAACTATTATTGGAATTTTACATTGATTTTTTTCTGGAGCCTAATTTTTCGTGAACTTTTGGTATAATTGTTTGAGTTTCTTTTTGGCGGATTTGTCCTGGGCCAAATTGTCTACACGTAATCAAAACAAAAAATAATTATGTTGAAGGACCAAAAATTAGTGTTTCTTGTAATGCCAAAAACATCCTAGTTAAAAATCATCATTAGCTGCAGATACAGATTAAAGGTTAGTGAAGGGCAGAAAAAACTTCGTCATAATGAATGGACTGCATACATGTGTAAATAAGGGTAGTAATTAGCATATCTAACATCCATTATTTAAATTTAGATTCGAAGCAGTCGTAAATTTTCAGCCATAAAATTTGCCTCAGGGGCTCATAAACTCCCGCTAGTTTCTTCGCCGTAATAAATTTTCTGTGAAAGAGCCATTAAATTTATTATTTTGGTATCTTGAATTGCCCTTGGAATTAGATTTTTTTCCGCAGAAACAACGGCTCATATAATAAATACAGACTTGACCCCAGGGAAACAACTTTCAAATCAGGAATTGAAAAGCAGATTTTTTAAAACAGAATAACTGACCTTTTCATGCATTGACAACAACTTAATAATTTATTCATTCAGCCGTTCCAGGGGCGCATTTTGGGGGAAAACGCCCCCCCCCCCCTCCAATTCTGTGAACCTCGACAATCTTACCATCCCCAGGGTTCCCTTTTGGTACTTTTACGGCAATTATTTTTGCCAGTACAAGCCTAGAATTTTTCTAAAGGCTGCTTTCTCGACGCCTACGCATGTTCACTTTGAATTAAACTTCGCAAAAATTGGAGCTGAAATTTGTCGCTCATTAGCGGAGCTGAAGTGGAGCTAAAACTCGCTCATTAGGCATTCTGGTCGACTTAAATTTTTTTAAATGTTTTAATTGCAATCCACAAAGAAAATCT